GGAGAGATCAGGCTTCAGTGAGACAGCCTCTGTCATGAGTCTCCCCCATGCCTCACTACCTATCTGTTCAATTTTCCAACCCAATCCCTCCAACACACTACAGATGCTCCACTCAGCACCACTTCCTTGGGGCTCTCCCTCTTCCTTATGCCTGTCTTTAATTACTAATTTCTCTCCTTCATTCCCTAATTATTCTACTCACCTTCTGTCCTCCATCTCCCTCCCCTTTTTTCCGTCGCTTTGTCTTCTTCTCCTTTTTTTCCCGGTGCTTCCGTCTCCTTTTCCGACCCGGTCCCATTCCATATTCACTGCCTCCACTTTCTGACTTTTCCCGGTACTCATCTCGCTCAGAGCCAAATTCTTCTTCACTGTCCTGAGAAATAAAATAACACTTTTTTCAGCCCTACCATGTGCCAGAAATGTTCTTAGCGTGTAACATATATTATCTCTTTTAAAAATCTTTGACAATGATCCGATGTGATATTAACTAATCTATTTTTATTGTTTTTGCGGATGAGGAAACTGAGGCACAGAGTGCCAAATAAATTGCTCAAGAAGATACAGGACTGCTGGCTCTGAAATCATGCAGTCTACCTCCAGAGCCTGTGCTTTCAACAGCTTCTTTGCTACTAAGGGAGGGCACGTCAACAACTGGGTTCTTCACTAGATTGTAGTGAGTGAGACTAGAGCCCCAGATCCCTGAGATATAGGCCAGCAAGGAGGGGGAGAGAGAGTCAGGCCTTCCTGACTTCAAGATCCCCCCTGGTGAGTAAAGACCAGAGAAAATGTAGGTCTCTGGGAATGGGTCTCCTGAACCTCGCTGCAGAGACAGGAGCCCTTGACACTTACAAGCTTCTTGCGTTTTCGGGGTTTTCCTGGCTTGTTCTCCTTCTGCTTCTTGGGTCCTCGTTTTCTCTTCTTCACACCCAATGCTGAAGGCAGCAGCCGAATGTCATCCTTATCTTTGGAGCAGAGAGCACCAGAAAACCTAAGCCTCTAGGTTCCATTCTTTGTGGCCCCTCAACCTCACCCGTCTTCACCTCCTGGGTTCCCACTCTCTAGGAACCGCGGCATTAACTCCTCCAAACCTTGCCTCCCTTCGCTGGATGCAAACAGAGAGTATTTCTAGTACTCTGGGATGTTCTGGTTCTGAATGGGAGGTCAGGGGTCAGAAAGGAAGCGTGGCCAAACCACTCCCTTCTCTCCCCTCCTACTAACAAGGAACCAGGCTCTAGGCCATGAGCTCTGACTGTGGCAGGTCCTTTCAGTCGCCGCCAGGGCTCCTCCTGCCTTCCCCCTCACTTAGCCAGCTGGCATCCTGCCCAGGAACTGGGGAAGCCATGCCCAGCTGCTGGCCTGGCCTGACCCCAGCACTTGGAGTGGGGAGACACAAGCTGGCAGCTCCCTAAGCCAGATGCTGAGAAGGGAGAGCCAAAGGTGGACACCTGGGTTCTCACACTAACACCCTGGGGCCCTGATGTTCTTTTTTCTAAGAGGGAGGTCTCTATTTATGTTTCCTCAGATAATCACCAAGTCTCTTGTCACCCCAACAGAGCCCTGGAGGGAAAGAAATCCTCAGACAGTCATTTTCACTTCTTGGCCACAAGATCACAGTGTCTGGCTCCTTCATCACACTCTAACCCAACAGGAGAAAGTCGCCACAATTACCTAAACATTCCTCCTCTTCCCATGGAGCCTGTGATGTGCCTTCAAATCTAGTTGCATATCCCTGCTCCCTTTGAGAAATGAGGGTCCCTATTCCTGTTCCCCTGATCTCACCCTTCCTCTCCAAATTTAATTCCAGACATGCCAACACATACATATATAAGCAGTATGGGAGACAGAGGCAGAAAAGTTCCGCAGATGCAGTGTTAAGTGCACACGCATACATTCTCGTGAGCACAAATCCTGAGGACAGTCTGTACCTGCTTTCAGCAGGGTTAGGTCCCCGGTTTTCTCCCCAAATGTTTCTGTCAGAGGCAGGGGTATAACCTCCCCCACCCCATTCTCCATGACCCCTGTCAGTCTGTGGAGGCTGGGGGACAGAGAGTTATTCCAGGTAGTGGCAGACACTGATGCCACAGAGACTTGGGGCCCTGGTTAGCCTCCTACCCCCAGCAAGCACTAGACCAACCAGCCAGACCTGTCTTGCTCTGGCACAGGCCGCTATGCAGGAGGGAAAAGCCTGGCTTGGCCCAGCCCCTTGCTCTAGGACACACAATCCTTCTTCCCTCAACAGCCAAGGGAAAATTAGCCACAATTAACACTAGAGGTCTTAGTTTCCTTTGCCTCAGAACCCTGGCACCTCCTTCCTGCAATGTTACCTCTCTTTCTAACTCCAGCATCCTGTGTCTTCTCCACAGGAAGACACTCTAGGATTTCGGCTGGGGGTTGGGAGTGTTGCCTCGAAGGCCCCTGGTGTGAAAATAGAGTAGGGGCTGTAATGGGAAGTCAATAAAACGCTATGCTCCAGCAGCCAGCTCTCCCTAACCCCAGGGACTTCGGTGATTATGAAAATGGAAACGGAGGCTGCCGGGGCAGTGGCAAGGGCAGGCCAACTGGCTAAGGATCAGGGAAATGGCCTGGGTCACCACCAGCTGGGGGTGGGGCACATGCCAGGGACCTTTCGGCCTGTTAAGTCACTCCCCACCAATGGGAACCTCCAGCAGGGGGTGGCGGGAGAAGCAAGGTAGAATGGTGAGGAAAGGGAAAGGGAGGGCAATAAAGCAAATCTAAGCCCCAACCTCGGTCTCACCAGCCACTCAATGCTGGCCCGGAGCCCAGACTCTCCCACATCCCGGGCTCAGATCTCGGGAAGGCGGCGAGGGAGAAGGGCGGGCGAGGAGGGGAGGCGGGGCCTGGCGAGCCGGAGCAAGCGGGAGGAGTCTCGCAGAAAGCCTCGCCTCCTGCCCGCCCCTCTCGTCTCCTAATCTCACCATCAATCTCTCACACATATATTTATTTTTTCTCAAATTCCCCTCCCTCCCCCACAACGAACCACCATAATAGGCCTGCTGCACATGCGTATTGCATGCAGGGGGTGGGTTTGTATTTTCAGACCTTTTGCAAAGAAACTACCAGAATTTTCCGCACCACCCACAATCATTCCCCACCCCCACCCCCAAGGAATCACATCTATATATTATATTATTTCTCTAGACTTGCCAGAAGGGGGAGGGCGAAGAAATGAGTTTTTGGCTTCCTGCTCCCTTCCCCCATCAACACAAGTGCTATTATTTTAAACGTTTAACAATGTAAGGAGACTGGAGAGGGGGGAGGGATAAAATTGGTCTTGGGTAAGAATGTAAAACAAAATGGTGAGAATCAAAGCAGTCAGAAGGAAAAACAATAGAAACCTCTAATACGTACAAATTCATATGCTAGAGAAGGAGAGGGAGGGCAGGCTGAATAAATTTCCTTAGAGGAGGGTTATTTTGCCCACACTTAGGTAGACAGAAATAATGAGCAGACTAAAAATACGTTCCCAAAGTTTTACCTCAGAAAGTCATCTGAGGGGGTGTATCTGGGTCACTCATTTGACTTGGAGGGCTGAAAGGGAGCTAAAATTGCGCTGGCAGAGAGAGGAGGTGGGTTTTCATTTAAAACATACATATAAGAAAATTTGACGTTTCTTCTCTGTGCGAAAAGCAAAGAGGGACAAGGGGAGGGAGCACTGACACAAAGACCCATCCGGACCGCAGATTCTTTCATGCTCCCCTCTCTCACAGATCCAAATCCTGGATCATAAACGCCCAAATACCGCATTCCAAGCTCTGACTGCAAAGAGGAGACAGCTGCCAATCTCCTAAGATAACCTGACCCCCCCCCTTTTTTTTTTAAGCACTTGGTCTATTTTCCAGGGAAGCCCCTCCCCACAATTCTTTATTCCTTTTCCCTCGTGCAAAATCAGTGGGCTCTCAGGGGTAACTTTTTAAAAACTTTTCCCTTTGTCAGACAAAGAGGGGGAGGGCTTTATCCTGTTTCCATCAGACACACATCCTCCCCATAAGAAAGCACCCCCACACTCCCTCAAAGGTAGTCTCAACTAGACAGGAACATTTGCCACACATCTGACAGTTGTACAAAACATGATGTTAGACGTTTTGAAGTTTGGTGCATTTGTGCTGCATGGCACCCAGCGGCCTGGGGGTGTGGATGTCCTCTTTCTTTCTCCAAGCGGCGGCTGTGAACATCCTAAACATGCTCACCCACCCTCAGGAAGGCTAGACAGAACTCCACTTGGAGGGTGGTCCGAGTGGGGCCACTGCTGGGCCCCTGATGTGAGGCAGCGCTCCCGTCTGTCCCCTCCACCACTTGGTAGAACTGTCCAGAGAGTGCCGGGAGACTTGTCAGCCAGGGGCGGGGTGCTGAGAGATGCTCAAGCTGCAGAACAGCTGGGTGGGCAGTTCATGCCCCCCAACGTGGTCAGGGTGTGGGTGGTTTCCACCAGAGAGTGACAGTGAATGGCAGCCACGTGAGAGTCACAGCTGGGCAGCTGAACCACCCCAGACTGACGGGGTCATGCCCCCCCTGCACACCCCCCCACCCCAGCCCGCACTTGACACAAAAGAGCCCAGAGAAGATGAAGGGGGTGGAGTTGGGGGCATCTGGTTTCCCACTCTCTTTTGCTCCCCAATCTTAAGTGACTGCTCTCCCTATTACGAGGCGGGGGGACCCTATTCCAGGAAGTGGTCTGCGAGGAGTGCGGCCGCCACCTGCCCTCAGTCACCCGCCGCCCACAAACACTCGCACGCCCCCTCCCCGGCGTGTCACCGCACGCCCCCGCGGCGGCGGGCACCTCAGTCCCCGCGGGTGGGGGGCCCGGCGGACACCGTCCCCTCCTGCCTCCCAAACTCCCGGGGAGACGGCCTCGGCGCCGGGCCCGCTCCACACGCGGACACCCCGCTCCCCCTCTGCCCAACCCCCCCGGACCGCGGCCGAGGGGCGCCCGCGCGGCCACCCCTCCCCCACGCGCCCCTCCCCCACGCCGCCGTCCGGCCGCCAGGGTCTCCGCGGTCCCTCGCTCGGCCAGGGAGGGGGCCCTGGCTTCGCCTCGGCCGTTTCCTGCCTACCCCCTCCCCGCCGAGGGTAAAAAAAATCTCCTCCTCCTCCTCCCCCGAAAGCCGCGACCGAGTGGCCCGGCCCGCGCGCGCAGCTCGCGCCCAGCGCTCTCCAGCCCGGGCGGCGGCGGCGGCCGCGGCGGCCGCGGCGGGGGAGGGGTGCGGCGGGGGAGGGGAGGAGGCCCGGCCCCGCGGCCGCCGCCGCCCGCCGGGACCGCTCGGACCGCCCGGACCGCCGCGGGGCGACGGGCCCGAGACCGCGCCCCGGATTCGCCTCGGCTCGGCCGCGCGGTGGGTGCCTGGCGCCCGCCCGGCCTCGCGCGCCCGCGGCTCCCGCTCGGGCTGGGGGGTGCGTCGGGCGGCCGCTTACCTGGCGGCGGGGGCGGCGGCGGCGGGGGCAGCGGCGGCGGCGGCGGCGGCGGGAAGAGGTGGCAGCCGGGGGGGCTGTGGCGGTCGCGGCCCCGGTCGTGGCCCGGCCCGCGCCCGAGGACTCCGTCGTCGTCGTCCTCCTCGTAGTCCTCGTCGGCCGCCTCCACCTCCTCCTCCTCCTCGTCGCCCTCTTCTTCCTCCTCTTCTTCCTCCTCCGACACCACCATCTCCTCCTCCTCCTCCTCCTCGTCCCTCAGAGGGGAAGCCATCCTGTGGCTCTGGCCCCCCCACCACCCCCCCACCCACCGCCCGCCCGCCTCCCCCACCGCTACCACCACCACCTCCTCCTCCTCCTCCTCCTCCTCCTCTTCGGCGGCGGCGTCCTCCTCCTCCTCACCGCCTCCCCCAGCCCCCAAAACCCCCGGGCCACCCCCCTCCGAAACCCCCACCCTCGGGGCCGCCGTCTGAGGAGGGGGGCCAAACCACCCCCAAATATTTTCTTAGAAAAAAATTGACTTCCCCCCCTCTCTGCTTCCTCCCAAGAGAACAAGAAAGGGGGATTAAAAAATATATATATATAAAAGTTTTCGACTTCTCTCTACCCCCCTCTCCATTGCTTTAAATATATTTAAATTCTGAGGGGGGCGCTCAGAAATATTTCTCAGAGCTGAGGCACTAAGATGGCCGCCTTGAAATTATTTTTAAAACAACCCCCCCTCCAGCACCGCCACCCCCTCCATGAAGAAAGGGAGAGGGGGGAAAAATCCCCTTTTAAAACAAAATGGCTGGCTTAATATTTCATTTTTCACCCCCCCCATTCTCCTCCCTGTTATCCCCCCATCCCAAGCCTCTACCCAGAAACCCACAAATTTTTCCCTTTTTTCATAACTGATTAGTGCACAGATTAATAGAGATATTTTCCTTGTGTACTGAGTGTGTGAGTGTGTGTGCGCGCGCGTTGGGGGGGCATGAAGGATTTCTGCATAAAACAAAAATGGCTGCTGTGACTAACTCCCCCCTTATAAAAAATATTTGAGGGGGGGGCATTAATCAGTACTCATGCTCAGTCTGACATCAGCATAAATTGTTAAAGGTTAACTAGTTAGATACTAGTCCAACTAGATTTAATTTTTTTCCTTTTCTTTACTAGTCTCTTTCTCCCCACCTCCCTTCTCTTAAAGAAAAGCTTTTTTTTTTTTTTTTCTGAATACTTCAGAAGGGAGTGGTTTGATGTGAAGGTTTTTTTTTTTCCCCTTCAGGCATTGAAAAGGAAAAAGATGAAATATATGTTTATATATAACTCTGTTTCTGCATATCTCATTGAAGTCAAAACGCATTTAATTGTGTACATAGCTTTTAAGTAAAAAGCGGTACTGGATTTTTTTTCCTTCTTTCTTTAAAAAAGTGATAGAAATCCTAGTGACTTTTGGGGGAGAGATATGAATAGATACGATGATTGAGTTTTTTTCAAAGGAGTCCATGTTTGATTCTCCCCTTTGCCCAGCCTTTTCAGTGATTTATAATTGTTGTAAATTTTATCTTCACTCTTTGCTTCTTTTCCTCGCCTGCCCCTCCTCCAATTGCTTGAATATGAAATTCATCTGACTTGAAAAATTAATTTAGGGATAAATAGAACAGATTTTTAGACTAAAGGGGAAAGAGTCAACTCTGAAGATTGTGAAATATTTTCTCTTTTCTCCTATTTCAGTATATTTCCCTTCCTCCATGATCTCCAACACTGAGAAAGTGGAAGAAACTGAGGTACCGTGAAAGAGAAAAGTAACTGGAACTGAGAAAAGAAAGAGGTAGGGGGTACACTGGCATTTTCGTCTGACTTTCTGATCCATAATTTCCAACCGTACCCCAGCGTTTATCTTTCAAGTAGTACCAGGAATCCGATGGAAGGTTGAAAAAGAATCCAAAAGTAGCTTTCTCATCAAGATGTTTGATTAGAGAAGTCATAAAATAAAACTTGCTAGTGAGTGATGCTAGCAAAGAAGGAAGAGGAATAGCTCAGCTCTACCGTATATTTTCATTCTTGGCAACCTTTTCTTACTTGTGTCCTCCTATTCTTTTGGTCTCATTTTGCCCCTTCTCTTGGTTCCCATCCTGTGCCTCTGGAAGCATTTCTCTCCTGGATTATTTCTCTGCCTTTTAAGTGTAGTTCAACCATCATCCCGCAGCCCTAGCAGTGTTCGGGAATCCCTTAAGAAGGATGTGTAGGTAGGCAGTAACCAGAAAGTATTAGTGACAGGGAATACTGTGCAATTTTTTGCTTAGGCCGATAAAAGGTTCTTTATTGATGTTCCAGCCCCCAACCCCCATACACATAAGACTAATGCACTTTATTGAACATTGATTTCCACCTTTTTCTTAACCTGGCCTTTGGAGTTCCCTCGCCTCTGTCTCCATGTATTTCTGTACTGAGTCTTAACTCCTACCCCTTCTCCGTTCCATTATGTTCTGTCCCCTTTTGGATCTCTCGGCTAGTCTAGGTATCCCCCCGCCCCCTTTCTTTATATGGCCTTCTCCGTACGTGCATCTTTTATTTTTCACTGAGATACTCTTTTTCATCCCTTTGGTTCTCAGGTTTTATCACCTCTAAGTGACGTTCCATCTCTGTCTGCTGTTTACGTCTGTCTTCCGGGCTCAGGCTCTGTGCCGCCTCCTCTTGTGTGCCTGATTCCCTCTCTTTCTAGTCCCTTGGTGTATGTCTGGGAAGAGTGTCCCCAGGTGTATGCGGGCAAACCTGCACTTCATGTGCACGGCAGTCTCTGCCTCTCTGCCCTCTCCCTCTGTGCTGAGTGCCTCTGCCTGCCTGCCTGCCACGTGTGCCATGAGCTGCAGGTGTGGGTGGCTAAAGGTGACTGTGTGCATCCCTATGCAGACATTCATCATTCTCTCAAGGGTGCTTTGCATATGGATCTGCTAATTTACCCGACTCTCTCTTGTCCTTCTCCCCTTCTGCCTGCCTGCATCTCCCTTTCTTTTTTCCTCCCTACTGACCTCTTGATTTTTCTTCCTCTATCCTTGTTTCTGCTTGCCTCTCTACCTGCTTGCTCTTATTATTGTCTGCCTGCTTGCCTGCTCCTCCCTGACTGGCTGGCAGCCTCTTTCTCTCTCTGGTTGTCTGTCTGCTTCTCTGGCTGTTTGCCCACCACTCTCTCTACCATCTGTCTCCCCGCCTGCCTGTCTCTATCACTTTTTTAGCCTTCATCTCTTGGTTTGTCTCCCTTCCAGGCCCTGCCATAGTTCTCTATCTTGGTTTGCCTTTTTTCTTGCCCTTCTACTTTTCCCTCCTCTTTCTTATGCCTGTGAAGTTCATGATTTTTCCTTGCCTCCTTTTATATCTGTCTTACCTGTCTTCCTTCCTTACTTGCTGCTGCCCCCTCCCCCCTTTAATGCTTTATCTTTTCAGTCTGTTACTTATAAGCCTTTTCTCCCTTGGTTTCCTTTATACTAACATCCCATCAGTGGTGGTGATCTCTACCCGAAATCTGTCAGTTACCCCCCCAACCCTAAAAATCTTGTCTGTCTTCTTGCCGTACACCCTTCCCCTGCCTTCTCTCACTGTTCACTTCCATTTCAGTTGTCTCTCTTCATTTTGTCTTTCTTGGTTCCTCAGTCAGTCAGCCTGCCTCAGTCCTTTTGCCATTTTCCCAGTCTCTCTTTGTTTCTGACGGTTTGCTCTCTGTCTGCCTGGCTCTTGCTGTCCACATGTCTGCTTGCTTTTCTTTTTTTCAATCAACTTTAAAACAGTATATACATATGGTACAAAATTTTTAGAGTACAAAAATCATTCTTTGAAGAGCAAGCCTCCCTCTTGTACCTCTCTTCCAGTCCCCCAGTTCCATGCCTCAGATGTAAGTTATACTTTGCATTTCTTGGTTATCGTTCCAGAGAAGAGTCTACACACACATATAAGTCTACTAGCTTTTTGCTGCACTCCTCCTTTCTCTCTCCCAGTTCCACTTAGTGCTTTTTCCTTTGTAAATCTATCAATTCTCCTTCCTACACCACTGGGTTTGCCATCTCTTGCCTCTTCTCTTTTTGATTCTACTTTATAGCACTTGTCTTTTCAATTGGCTGGTTGCTAGTTGCATACTATTACTACCGGTACAGGAGGAGCACTTCGGATGGGTTTACTTTGTCCTAGTCTTTATTCTACTCTGTATAGTAAGTTGTCGTAGTGCACACCTTTGCTGGTATCCTCAACACTGAACTGTGTGTTAATTGAACAAAGATGAATGCACTGGGTAATACAGAAAAATGCCATGTAAATATAGGTATAATTAATAAGAACGGATAGAACTTAATGTACATAACATAGATAGAGGCCTGCTCTGTTTTCCCAGAGTCCATATGAAGTCTTTAAAGGCATATGAATCTAAATCTTTTTAAGTTCAACAGTACCCTAGGTTTGTCCAAGAATTTGTCTTCTTCCTAATCTAAAAAACTTTGCTACTTAACTAAAAATTTTCTCCCTTTCCATTCTTCCTTCTGTCTCCTTTCACATGCCACCTTAGGGCTATTATAACTCCTTGGAGGAAACAAAGACATAGCTGCTATCCAGGTCTGTTCAGAAATATGATAAAACTTTTATACACAATGCACTGTTCTTTCATTTCTGCTTTTTTTTTTAACTACCTTTATTCCTGTATTTAACCTCTATCCTGTGTCTCCTTCCCCTCCCCACCCCCCGCCCCCCACTTTTCTTGATTCTGTCTTTCCTCTTAACTGTCTGTCTTGGGCTCCATTCTAGCTCTCTTTCTGATTGGCCATCTTCCCTGTCTTCTGTCTGATTGGCCTGTATCCTTCCATCACCCCATCTGTCTGCTGGATTCTCCCTGTCTGCCTGCTATAATGTATTTGATACCACTTTATAAATTATAAAGCACTGTATGGTATAAAACACTATTATCACTTTGTCTTCCGTCCTTCCTTATTGTTTTCTGCCTTCCTCTTCCTTCTTTTTTCTCTCTATACCCCTTTCTGTATGTCTGTCTGCCTCTCTCATTCTTCTTTCTCCTTGCCAGCCTATCTGTTTTTCTGCCTTCCTCCTTTTCTATCTGCTCAGTTCCAGTCTCTCTTTCTGTGCGCCCAGGTTCCTCTACATTTCTTTTACCTGTCTATTCTCTCTTTTCTTAGGCATTTTATCTGTGCGTGTATGTCTCACTGTTTCTAGCTGCTTGTCTCTCTACCTGTCAGTTTTAATGTGGGTAGCACTCTCTGGTTTATCTTTCTGTACTTCAAAAAATTAAAATAAAATATTAAAGTACCATTTGACTAATTGGTTAAGGAAAATGTTTTTCGTATTTTAAATGAGATCATTAAGGTGAGGAAAGGAACTCAGGCATGTAACTGTCAAATGCCAAATCAGAAATTAGATACTTTCCCCCCGCCCCCCCAAAAAAATTAGGAGACACATTGCAAAGGAGTCCCAAATCAATACTAAGATTATTTATTTAAAGTAAAAGCAAGAAACTTATCCAAAGCCGTATTTTCTAACCCATTTTTGGATAATACAAAGTTATAAACTTCCCCCAGGAAAAAAAAGTATATGCAGAAAATATATATGTTTTCATGATGTTATGAATACCCTAAAGTATAGACCCCAGAGTAAAATGCTGATGTAGAGAACCAATGAGAATGATTGATAGTGCACAGATATAGACTCATGCAGCAGACAGCTGAAAGGACTGAAAAAGCATTTTGCAGTCTATGGTTCTACCCAAGAAGATGTTAAAGAGATTCCTAGTTGTCTTTTGAAATATACAGGTCAGTAAACATAAAGGCATGTAAGTGCTGAAGATACTCTAGACCTAATCATAAAATTTTAGAGCTGAAGGTCAACTAAATCATTAGTTCCCAAATGGCTAATTATGGCTGACATTTGACTTTTCCTGGGAAAGTCTGTTCTTTGTTCTGATTATATATTTCTTATTTTTTGATATAGAATTAATGTGATATACTGTATATGTAATAATAATATCATGTGCATATTAATATATTTAGCAATATATTTGTTGAAAGTGTCTTTTCTTAAAATGAGGTAGAGCTGTATGAAGGATGCCCATGATAGATTTATAGAGAGAAAGAAAAGAAAGAAAAATACTTTTAATATTTTGTACAATTTGAAATTTTTTCATTGTCCATGTACCTTTATAGTTACAAAACATTTAACTTTTTGTTAAGTAATGGTGATGGGTACATGGGTTTCGATTTTATGTTCTTAATGTCCTTAGCACAATAAAAAGTCAGCAACTCCATGTTAATCAATAGCAAATATGTTCACGTTTTACTGGTCTTTGAAATCTAAGTGTCTGGATCTGCTGCTTTAATCTTATCTCATTTTGATTTTATGAAGATGCTTTAGTCCTTCATAAACCATATTCATGATTTGCCATATCTGCATACCACATATACAATCATATGTATACTATTTTCTGTTAATTCAGTTTACTTTTAAAAATGTCACTTAAAAAGTAAAGTAAAGTCTTTATTACTAAGAAATAATATCCATAAATCATTAATTTGCTAGAGTAATTATATTTTTCATAATTTATTTTAAAATAGTAATTTTTCTCTCTCTCTTTTTTTTTTTAATTTGGGATGCCTACATAGACACAGGTGGACAGTCTTAAAGGACAGCAATGGCCTAAAATAATAATTTTTAAAAGAAAACAAAAGCATCTTGAATGCTACTACATTTTAGGAAATATCACTTTAATTTTGTAGGTATGGAAATTGGGACTTAGAGGCTGAAGAATTGCCTACAATCAAATTAATTGTTAGAGACAAACCA